CTAAGTCAAGAGTGAAACAATATACTCTTAACAAAATTGTGTTGTAAAGTAGCAGTAGTTAATAAAATAGATGATTAAGGGATATATACTAAAATATTAGTGAAGTACATTCCCTAAGTATTAATCAGAATCTCTAAACATACAGAAAATTTTTAAACAAACAAATAAATCAATCTATTATATATAAGCAAAACTTGAGTCCATTTTGGTGTATTCTGGAGTTAATCTCCCATACAACAAGCCCCATTCCTGCGGCCTAGGTTTCCATTTCTAGACTAACCCACTTTTAACTTTGCCAGTACCAAAATACACCACCATTTAAAGCCCAAGCATTAAAGCATAAATAACCTGGTTGTTATGTTATCAGATTATTATTATTCAATCATACTTTACAATATCAATTCTCAGATTTATTGTGATCAAGCATTCATTTAAAAAATAATAAGTAAAAATTACAGTAGTGACAAATTACACCATGACATAAATTTTTTTAAACTTTAGGTTTAAGATACGCAACTACAGTATTAATATTATAGTGGTCTGTTAACATATTTTAGTGTCATCCATTGTTTTTCACTATTTCATCTGATAATGCATTATAAGGTCATTCGATCTCAAACATTACAAACTACGATTTCGTAACCATTTTTTGGCATCATTATGATGCAAATCCTTCAAATTAAATGCACCAAATGTGGGCAGATCTAACAGTGGCCATTTTTCTTAAATCACTTCACTTCTTACAAAGTACCTTGGGCAGTCTCTTTGAATTTATGCTAATTCCTAGTGACTTTGCAAAATACATGAATATTCAATATTTAAGTAATGTTTGTTTTCCCTACCACTTGGGCAGGACGGTAGAGCGACGGTCTCGTTTCATACAGGCCGGTGTTCAATCCCTGACTGTCCAAGTGGTTGGGCACCATCCCCCCCCCCCCCTGTCCCATCCCAAATCCTTATCCTGATCCATTCCAAGTGCTATATAATTGTAATAGCTTGGCACATTCTCCTGAAACTGTAATTCCCTCCCTCCTTCCACACAAGTAAGCACAGTAATTATCAGGAGACAGCAGGCCAGCCTGCAAGAAGGTGCAAGACTGTTCTGGCAGCAAAGTGAAGAGCTTTGTTCCATGTAGTGCCCACGAGTTAACCACGTGTGGCCAAACCTTGACCAAACCAGGAAGATTTCGAATTTCTGGTATAGTGACAGGAGGAAGAGCAAGGAAATAGGTCATATTTAACAGTACTGTATGCAATTTGTTGCTTGTAACAGCCAACCACTCTCTCTCCAATAGTTTTGCATTACAATGCAAATGACAAGTTGTTTCTGGAAATGGGATCAGAATGAATTGCTTCTTTAGCAACGACATCTTTTTTGCAATATAGGAGGCCTGGCCGATGACCAGGCTGTTGGGATGTAAAGTCCCGAAACCAACTCCAGGTATAGGTCAATCATGTGTGCACACTTTCATAAAAATAAATATTGATCAATGATTAAAAAATAAATAAGGAATTTTGAAAGGTTTATGAGTTTTTATACATTCAAGAGATGCCACACACACACAGTACTGCATATACTAATTTGTTTTTAATCTATACACTAGAACATTCATATCCAAACATTTTGACACATTTATTTAGATCTATAAAACAGAATGTGTCTGTCTGTCCAAACTAGAATGCCAGATGCTTGGAGCTAGCCTCACCTATCTTTTCAAGATGACATATTGGGGAAGGGGGAGGGGTATGCAAGTAGCATAGGCCAGTTGGGGGTAGGCCCCAGTACCACCCCAATGGTACTATGTGATTTTCATGAAGTCTGAAATTGGAGCTGTATTTCCTGTAGAGCTAGTTAGCAGATTTGTTTTAGTGCCTCACAATATTCAAATAATTATCTAAGAGAGACTGGGAGAGGGAAGGAGTGAGGGGAGAGGGGTGAGAGGACAAAGAGGGAGGGGGGTGGGGGAAGAAAGGATGTTGGGGAAGAAGGGGTAGAAAGGTGGAGAGGGGCAGAAAGGTGAAGAGAGGGAAGAAAGATGGAGAGGGGAAGTGGGGAGGGGGAGATACCCCGGGCACAGCTGGACACCCCATCTAATATTGTATAATTATCATGCAATAACCTTTACAGTGCAAAAACACTGAATACAAATTTTATGCATCACTTATAAGGTTGGGCCAAACTGAACAATAAACAACATGCCAAGCTGGACTGCTCTAGTGTTAAATACAAGCGACGTCAAAGTACGTAGCTAGATTCACTGTGGATTAGACGAAGGGACATGATTCAAAGGAGCAGCGGGAAAACGAAATTGCCAATCCTGAAAATCAGGACATTTTCTTAAGAGGTAAACAACTGCTAGCAGAACAATGCAGGTCTGACAGGAAGTGCAAGTCTCTGTTCCATTAAATGGTGAGGAGTTAACCTTGTGTGTCACATGTAACTGAGCCAAAGAGACATATCCTACTTCCTATTTTGGTGATAAAAGAAACGCCCCAAGAATAGGTCACATTTCACGGTACATAATTTGTTACTCTTAGTGACTAGATTTGGTAAATCATTACATCTCTATAACAGAATATGTCTCTATCCAAGTTGGAAGCCAAAAGCTTGGGTGTAGCCTCTCCCAAATTTGCAGGAAAATTGTCTGGGGGACGGGACAGACATTGGCTCATCAGGGCAGGCTTGTTTAAATACTTTAAGAAATATTAACATTAATAAACACCCAAAGGGATTTTCATTGTGCAATATATAGTATGATTCCCCTAGTTTTTATTGCTTATATTTTCTGAGACCTGTACAATTGTTTCAGTCCTCCTTAATAAATTTTTTAAGAGAAGGGGGACATGGGGTGGGAAGCAAGGGGATGGGGGGGAAGAAGACATGGGTGGGTCACAAATAGAGATGGGGTATAAAGTGGGGAAGAGTGGAAAGAGAGGGAGGGAAGAGACCCAGGTACCTCCTCTATACATAAATAGAAAAATCTGTTCAATTGAGATTGAAGGGGAGAGGGAGGGGGGAGTGAGGAAAAATGGGGGAGATATAAGTTACCCGAACCTGGAAGGGAAAGGGAAGGAGAGGGGGAAGGGAGGGAAGAATGGGGGGAGAGAGAGGAATGTAGAGAAGGGGATTGAAAAGGGGTAGAATAACGGTGTGGAAGGAAAGGTGATGGAGACTATTCTGGGCACTGCTGGGTACACCTCTTAGTGTTCATATAATAAAAGAATAGATAATATTTGTTGCAGGCCAGCTGCACAAACCCCAAGCATTATATACTGTATAGTGTTAACATTTACTTTTTCAGTGATTTTCCTATATATATAAAAAAAAAAAAAAAAAAAAAAAAAAGACAATACTGTAAATTTTTCACTCCCAACAGAATTTCTGCTAAAACAGAATCTAGTGTTGATCAATTGAGTTGCCCTATACTGTATTAATTGTGTGTGTATGTGTGTACGTGCCTAATTGTGCTTGCAGGGATTGAGCTTTGACTCTCTGGTCCTTCAGCTGTGTGTGTAATTACCCAATTGGCTGGGAATCAAACCCGGGCCATTAAGACTACGACCCCCGAACACTGTCCCCCATAGATAAAGACCAATGAGTACTCTGCTTGACTTAATTAGGAGAAAAAATTTATGTACAAGTTCATGTGTGCCTTTTTCCTAAAAGTACTGAATGTAAATTGATTGTTACTTCTACCTACAATGCAATCCAAAAAGGGAAGATGTTTATTAGGTTCTTTTTTCATGTCAAACTGCATGGAATGCTATAGGCTATTAAGACCCTCTAAATACCTATTGTATCTAGATTCTCAAAATCTTCATCAAATATATCAAAATCAACAACATATCTGAACCATGCTTTGGTACCTTTTCTACCAATTACTGTGTACTTTTTTAAGAGTACAAGAGGTAACAAATAATTGTTTTACTCTGATCCCTAGGCTTATTCTGTGCTGATTAATATTTGAATACAAGACTACATATTGAAGACTACTATAGAAGAAAAATTTAGTTTTAATGGGATGATTTAGAAACAAAAGTTTGGGGTGACTATGGGTTCTTCCCTTTCTCCTATTCTTGCACATTTATATATGGAGTTACGAGCGATAGCATCCAGACAAATACCTTTATTAATAACTGCAGTTCTCAGAATATAAGGACGAGAGAAAGGGCAACTAATCATAATACCATAGAAGACATCCCAGTAGGTGCATCGGCAGTTGGGAATAGAGGTGACATGGTCAGAGCAACAATAAGAGGTGACATGGTCAGAGCAACAATAAGAGGTGACATGGTCAGATCAACAACAAGAGGTGACATGGTCAGATCAACAACAAGAGGTGACATGGTCAGATCAACAATAAGAGGTGACATGGTCAGATCAACAACAAGAGGTGACATGGTCAGATCAACAATAAGAGGAATGGATCCTGGGAAACAGTCATATTAATCATCGAAATGTAGTCTCGTCCTACCCATATACTTAAACCTTGAAGTACTCAGGAGTGTGCAAAGACTTGGTGGAAATATTTACATAAAATTCACATATAAATGTGGGTTTTATCCAATAATAATAATATATAAAAAAATGGCCTTTTTAATGGTATACACAGAAAGAGATTTTATTTTTTGCTGGAAATGCAATACAAACATAAAATACACACACATTTACCCATTTTTCTATCCTCAATGGGAACAAGACACTCAGAGGGTGTTAAAGCAAAATGATTAAGATGTAAAAACAGGATGTAAACAATTAATGAAAAAGCATGAATGGGTGATGAAGCTTTTGAGAGGTCTTACTGTATATTACTGTAACCAGCCTAGTTAAGGAATATGGCCTTGATACCAGCACTGCTTTTGATGCAATGCAGTAAACTAAGACTGCAAATAACGTATTCAAATTCCTTTAGTACAGAACATTTCACTTAGCTACTCGGGGGTCACAAGGCAAGTGAAGCTCCACTCCGAAGGTAAGAACAAATAAAATTTATCTTACATACAGTACTCTTATCATGTTTATTTCTGATTCTACAGCTGTATTACAACATGGTTTTAATATTATGAATTTGTTAAAATGTGGGTAGATTCATGTTGTTTACTTCTGATAAAGTAAAATAAAATAAAACTGTCAAAAATGAATGAGCCTGTGTTGACACAGGATGGAGCGGAAGTTAGGATGAAACGGAAGGGAGTCGGTCCCAATTAGATTGTTCCAGCTGGAGAACACAGTAATTGAGAAAATAGAACAGAAGAGAAAAAGTTTACAGATTTTCATCCAGATCATATTTGTTGTTCAGTTTCCAGCAGGGTGGCTCGTGCAATGCTTTGTAAGCATCACTCTTCTCCTCCCTTACTCAGTGTCCCCATCCTCATACTCGATCATCCGTATTCCAACACTACCACTCAATCTCTTATAAAACTCATGCACTGTACAAATAACTTGCATTAGGGCATTAGTGAAAAATATCAATATAAATATGCAAAAATGCAATTATAGGAAAGGGAAGACGAACAATAAAATCTTACAGTACACAAGAGATGCAAAGTGAAGGTACAAGCACTTTTCTATCTAGGCCTGCATTAACCCAAAATGTTTTGAAGGCCTAAGGAAGCATGGTCACTCTTGCAGAGGTCAGTCAGCCTCCTCTCAAATACAGCCAAATACATAATGGGAATATTTTCTAAACTAAAATATTACTGTACAGGGATTGTGGAATTATCCAAACAAATACGCATGCCAAATACACACATATGAAAGGATTCATATACAAGAAAGAAAAATAAATAGGTAATAAAATTAAAATATTTTATAACATGTTTTTGTATTGTAAAAGAATTAAAACTGGTTTTGTTCTCGTGGAGCATGAAAAAACATGTTTTTCTTAATCTTATTCCTTTCTACCTGACATGATACTGCAGTGTTAACAACATTACCAAGTAGTGACTGTACAGTAGTTTGTTAGTACTGGATTAAAAATATAATTTGTTATTACATGTATACCATAACAAATTCATTTTAATAAATTTATCCAAGGCTCAAAATCTGAAGCCATCACATATAATGAAATTAATGCTGATGAAAACTGCAATGAGGGTGGTGGGTTCAACCAAGTGCTGATGGGAAAATAACCCGTTTTGTATATAAAAATATATAAAAATAAACGCTTCTTCAGTAACATTCATTTCTAGATAATTTACAGCTCTTGAACTTGTTTAAGAGTATTCTCTCTACAAGTAATCAACTTAAATAATGCCTGCACCGAACCATTATGTCATGGATCGTAATGCAACATGCCTGACCCAAGTGGCTGCTCAGATCCAACAAACCTGTGCTGTCACTATTCATGTAGTATTTAAATCACCAGTCAAAGGGCTTCATCACCCTTTGTGTATTAATTGTTCTTAATTTATACAGTAGTTGTAACTTATTTATAGTCTTCTGTTTTGATAACAAGACTAACTATTTTCCCAGCAACATTTGGCAAAGAATATGCCTACTTATATGAGCAAGAAGTGAACTGTCTTATTTACAGATAAATATAAGAATGTAAACCATCCCATGATTAGAGTCTGCATGCAAGCCAGTATTCTTAAACCACAGGGTAACTTCCACGTTAACCCTTTAAAGACTAGTCAAGAATTGTATCTGCTTCACCAGGAGAATCTCGCTGAATTCTGATTCTCTATTAGTGATTACAATTCATTTTTTTTCCTTAAAAAAAAAAAAAGAAAAAAAAAGAAGAAAAAAACCCTCATGGGTTCTTTCAGTCTGCCTTACAAAGATACCACCAAGCATAACACATCCACGGCATTCACACAAATACTTTCAATACTTGCATAATTTCAACAACATTCTCTTTCAACTTATGGTAGTGGTACCTCCATATAATGTTACCACAAATACGAGGAATTAACAAAGTCGGTCACTGTCGGCTACAGAGGGTTTCATGTGCACCAATATGAATCTGTTAAGTGTACTGTAGCCATAAATTCTTGGGTGGAATCCGGCTTAAATTAGAGTATTACGGCTTGAGCTGATTCTGGGCTACCACAGTAAGCCCAAAATTCTGTACATTTCCACAAGGTTATAAAAAATACTTTTGAAAAGTGATTCTGAAGTCAATTGGCTCTTTGTAAGTTATCAAGTAATCTAGGCAATCAGTTTAACACAAGGATATCAACCATAATCCAGAACCAGCTGAACAAAGTATTACTATGGCTCAGAATGACTTCAAATTTGGATCAGCTATTCACTGCATTGGCTGAGAGAGCATTGTAAAGATTATCAGGGTGAAAGTCTGAGACCAGAAGTGGCTTAGTTTAATCTAACCAAAGTTTCCAATGGTGAGTTAATTTTAATTAAGATAAATAATGAAAACCACTTCAGTTAAAATGCTTATAAATTACTCAATAAGGTCTTCTGGGAAAGGAAACTAATATTAAAATCAGGTCTCAAACTCCCAAGTGGATACTCAAGTACTGTTCACATCACCGTTAACACAGCACTCTTACAGATCTTCTGCACAACCAAAGTCTGAGGCATTAGAGGAATACTGCAGCCCTGCAATCTGCTCCTCCAGCAGTGACTTGGGGTTTGGACTTGGGACTCAGTCTACTGGAGTCACTCTATGATCAGACAAAGACTTTGGCCAGGGCATCTGCACCTGCACTGGCAATGAAGGGCTTGCTAGGATGGAAGGCCACATCAAATATGCTTTCATCGAACTTCTTCCTGTGGGCTGTGATCTCCTGAACACATTGCTTGCTGTCCAGCTGCCACAAGCGAATACTGCAGTCATGGCCTAAGGAGTTAAATTTATCTCAGTATCTCTCTAATAATAAACTTAGTACAGTTATAACAAAAAAAAAAAGTACACAGTAAGATTTATGAGGAGAAAGCACTAAGCCATTACGAAAAACAATACAGTCTAGACTACAAAGTATGAACTGGTTTCACAAACAAAGATATTTCACTAGTTTCATATCAGAAAAATAAATATACATTTATTATGACATGATTTTCAAGGTATAATATATATATATATACATACACACACACACCAAAGTTGCTAATGTTTTAATGAAGTACTCTACTACTTCATCTCCAACTAAAATAAAATTTGGAATGGACGTAACAAAAAATTTATGTTAATACTGAAACCAAGACAAGAAATGGGGTAAAGTACAGTAATTCTGAAAACGACAGCTATAAAGCATTATTGTAACCGAGTGGACATTATCTGGCGCTGCAGCACCTTGGCCGTGGTCACTGGCCGACACTGGTTAATAACATGTCACACACGCACATTTACTGTGTGATACACAGTACAGTATAACCATCATCCTTAAACTGAAAATACAGAAAGAGCTCTGATCTAAAAAATAAATAGATAGCAAGACAAACAAAATTTGCTACAATACCGTAAAACAATGAAAAATATTTAATATATATTGGTTAAACTCACTGCCTGAGAGGAGGTAGAGACCATTTGGATCAACAGCCAATGAAGTAACAGAGTCCAGGTGTGCTACCATAGATTGAACTAAACGTCCACTGTTGTTATCCCAGAACCGAATGTGACGATCCTCGTGACCTGTGATGGTCAGTGGCAGAGTAGGGTGGGACACAACCTGCAATAACAAAATTATTATTATTATTATTGCATAATTTCTCCATTTTGATGGGATGGGGAAGCAAGAGCCTAGAGGACAATAGAAGAGGAATGTAGACACAACTTTTAAATTTAATCACCCACTCACCATTTCTTCCTAACTAACCAGCATCCTATATACTCCGCACCATCACAATCCAGCAGAACATCCACTGCCATACATGACTGGGTGTAATGCATTTCCTGTAATTTGTCATCTAAAAACAATGTTAAGAAATCACTCCCTCTTGAAACCCTGATTCCACATAGACTTATTTCCCACTGCTTATAGGTACCCAGATGAGCAGCCAGCATCAGTTACCGAAGAAAAACAAAGCAGTGAAAATTGAAATCAAAAGTTGAAGTTCATTAAAATTGGCATAAAAACCACGTACAGTATACTCCATTGAAGAACAGATACACCAGTACAGTATGTAAAGAACTGCTATAAAAAAAAATCAAAGATAAAGAAAAAGGACAATATTAGGGGAGATCAGGAACAGATACAGAGAAATCAGGGTGGGGGGGGGGGGATGGTTGGGTCAAGAGGAAAACTGACTGGGTCAAGTGAGGAAGGTTGCTTTGAGATGATCCCAATAATTTAGGCGTTTTATCCTGTCTATTCATACCGTATATGTTCTGTGTACTCCCTCTATTTCAGCAATCTCTCCCTGCTCTGAAGGGGGAAGCGAGTACTGAGCATTTGTACTCAAGATGGGACAGCACAAGTGATAAGATTGCAACCATTGTGATGGGATCCCTGCATTAGAAAGTTCTCGTAATCCATCCTCTCATTTTACTGGCTGATGCAAGCCTGTACATGGCTTGCTCCATGACACAAGCCATGTAGCAAAGACAAACAGACCATGGTACGTAGCAATGGTTGACAGACATATTTGTGTTCTATTGCAAGGACAGTGCTGTGCCTTCACATTAAGGTGCAGTTTTACCAACCAAAGATGGAGTCACTCCAGGTGATGAGGTATTCACCACTGGGGATCTGGGAGTCATCCCTGACAAAGAAATGGCAGGAAAATGGAGAGTATCAGTAGGGTGAACAAAAGATTAGGCTGGGTCTGGGCCCACCAGAGCTACAGAGCCTATCTTACATCACAGTTTGACTCGGACCTGGTCACCCACCCCACAAGTTTGAGTATGAGAAGCAAGTTTGGTTACCATATACATCCTGTTTTTCTAAGTTTGGGTTCTGGAGCCAAGAGAAATTAGCATACCAGGTACAAACAGCTAAATCTTGCTTCCCAGTAGTCACTGATAGGTAAATGAGAAGGCCAAGCACTGGCCTGTGTAGAAAAGGGTGCATCATCCAAAGTGGTGATCCCCTTTTCAAACTGGGGTCCTACTGCACTGATCATTCTCCACCACTGGTGCAGAAACTTCTTTCTTACTTTTGCCCCAACCTGGACCACTAAACCTACCTCCATGGGTAGATGGTCCAATGGCCAAAATGGGAACCCTACGTTTGTTTATTTACAATACAATGCCTGGAGATGGGACTGATGCAACCCCCCCATCAGTTTGAGGGAGTAATGCACGAGCCCCATCATCACAATAAAGTGGAACCTTGAGGGGGGTAGAAAACTACGCCTACCACTATCTTTGTGATCCACACACACTGTTATCTTATATAGAATGAAGTTCTGCTGGGTGGTTACATCTGGGATATCTCTCTCCTCATAGCTCCATGTTGTTGTATCAGTGGGGCTACTCTCCTCCCCTCACCCTTCTTTGTTTATCCTTCCTTTCCTTACTACCTGGTATCCTCTTGGGAATACTGCATCATATTATACATGTATATTTTGTTTCCTTAACTGCAATGATACGAGACTGCAGTTCTGCCTCCCGTTCTTGTAACTCTACCCTTTCATTTGCAATGCTGTCTGCATTTGTAAACCAAATTGTTATACTACTCATTTCTACTGGGCTGCTTAGTTTCTTTTCAGGGTAGATTTTCCTTTTGGGTTAATACCATTCTAGAGGGGTGGCATTTGTGAGTGTTTAGTGGCTGAACCAGTTTTTGTATGTGCCAGAGTAAGTATCCCCACCTGCTGATTAAAGTACAGTGACTTACTTACATTCATTCCTTATTTTCTGTACAAGTAATTAGGTTCTTAACTTAGGCAAGCTTAGTTTTCAGCTTTATGCAACTTTATTCTTCTGTGATGATCTAGAAAGCAAAGCTCCATTTAGTTATGTGAATATCATAGACTGAAGGTTAGTGTTGCAACTCCTATAACTAGTCTAGGTGTACCTCCCATCACAATGGTTGTACTCTTCAAGTCACTTGTGTTGTCCCGTCTTGAGTACTGTTCAGTACTCACTTCCCCCTTCAGAGCAGGAGAGATTGCTGAAATAGAGGGAATACAGAGAACATATAAGGCACGCATAGATGCAATAAAGCACCTAAATTATTGGGATCGTCTCAAAGCCCTCCAAATGTACTCACTAGAAAGAAGACGAGAGAGATATCAAATAATATACACCTGGAAGATACTGGAGGGCCAAGTACCAAATCTACACAGTAAAATAACAATGTACTGGAGTAAACATTATGGAAGAAAATGTAGAATAGAACCAGTGAAGAGCAGAGGTGCCATAGGCACAATCAGAGAACACTGTATAAACATCAGAGGTCCACGGTTGTTCAACGTCCTCCCAGCAAGCATAAGAAATATTGCCGGAACAACCGTGGACATTTTCAAGAGGAAACTAGATTTATTCCTCCAAGGAGTGCCGGACCAACCGGGCTGTGGTGGGCATGTGGGCCTGCGGGCCGCTCCAAGCAACAGCCTGGTGGACCAAACTCTCACAAGTCAAGCCTGGCCTCGGGCCGGGCTTGGGGAGTAGAAGAACTCCCAGAACCCCATCAACCAGGTATCAACCAGGTAACCTCACATGGCAACAATAGTGCTAGCAATCACTAGCTACAGCTCCAGTACTTTACCTAAGAAAGTTGTGTGCAACTGCTGCCAAAATTAAGTATCTGAGCTCCAGGGTACCCTGTGATAGCTTTTTGCAAGTGCCATTGAGGTCCACGGTTGTTCAACACCCTCCCAGTGAGCAAAAGAAATATTGCCGGAACAACCATGGACATCTTCAAGAGGAAACTAGATTTATTCCTCCAAGGAGTGCCGGACCAACCGGGCTGTGGTGGGTATGTGGGCCTGCAGGCCGCTCCAAGCAACAGTCTGGTGGACCAAACTCTCACAAGTCAAGCCTGGCCTCGGGCCGGGCTTGGGGAGTAGAAGAACTCCCAGAACCCCATCAACCAGGTATTGTACAGGCACCCAACATCACAATTCCCTTCACTCATCATCACCATAAATTTATCTCAGTTCACATTCACCTATTAGTTTTTACTACCACATATCACTAAAACTTTTACTAAGCTATATTAATGTTGAATATGTTTTCATACATCTATAGTTGCTATGAAGCTAATAACAAAGATTATTCAAGGGGCTAAACTGAGTCCTTACTCTATTGATTTGTCGGTTAATAGAGTTGCTGCCTTGATCAGGTTCAGTATCAAGACGCATGATTGGTTTGCCAGTCTCCAGGTCGAATATAACGCAGTTAGCTGTGTTGAAGCTGCACACAAACTGGTTGCTGGATTCATACACGAAGTCCACCGAGGTGGGGATGCCATCTGAAGTCAAAGATAGAGCAAAATGAAAAGCAATACACACATTTCACCAAATAAATTACAAATGTTTTGTACATAATTTATAAACAAGGTGAAATACAGTAGATTTAAAATAATCCAATATTAGGACATGTAATAGGAAAGAGAAAAAGTCATCAATTATGAGGGAGATCTGTAACTAGTACAGTACTTCCACTAGAGAAAACAAAATACAAATGAGAGCAAAGCTCGTGGTGTCCCAACGTCCCAACACGATCATATAATGCTTAGAAACTACTGAAGGTTTTGCCTTCCACCACCTTCCCACTTAATTCCAACATTAAGAATAGTTTTCATTTTATTATACATAAATGTTTAAAGTTTTGAATCATAATAAAGTATTTTCAAAATATCACATGGAAACCTAATGGAAGAATATGCAAGTCATCATACTGTAGCTTCTTCAATATTGAAAGGGAGCCCAAATTTATGATTGTACTTCAGTATTAAAGGTTTCAAATCAATATAAAGAAGCATTTTTAAAATATTGTACGGAATTAGCAAGAAAAATTCTAAACTATAACAATTATAATAAGTATCAAATAAGCCTTATATTGTAAACAAAAACCCAGATGTTATGTTAAGCATGTGTGTTAAGACACACACAAACCTTTTTCAACAGCATAGGTAGACAGCAATGGTGAGCGGGGATCTGCAGACCACAATCTAACGGTAGAATCTGCCGCACATGAGAGAAGATGTTGGCGTTGTGGATGGAAAGTCAGACCCCAAACTGCATCGGTGTGACCAGATAAACTTCCTCCAACCACACTTGGTTCTGAAATAAAAATTGTTGATGCAAGTACAAGTATACTGTGTATGTCACTAATTTTCAAAAAAAATTTCACCAATAAATTTGAGTGCACAGAAAAAGCACTCAAAAATAGTAAAGAAATCACTTAAAATTCAACCCCCAATATGATGATTTGAATAAGGTTAAATATTTGTTGTTTTCTTCTATGTCTTTGATGGTTTCCTGTGTCTGCAGTACCAAATTTGTTGGAGGAAATGTAAAAAAATGAAATGTAGTTGCCCTTTATGTTGCAAATATCCTAATCTATTATAAATACAGCTTTTAAACACTGCACTGCGCAAAGCGCCTTCAGGCACTCTCAGAGTTATGTTATTTTTTTTAATTAGGCTATATTTTAATGTTTTCATTACTCTGATTTTAAATGGAAATAGTTGAGTTTGGAAACATTTTGACATTAACTACCTAAACAGTTATAAAAACAACAAAAATATGTCCTCGACATTGCACTAAGAAGTTTTTGCCAAAAATAGGTGTGCAGTGCAGTGGTTAAGTTGGCTAGGAAAACATTTTATAACTAGTCATACAGAGAATAAGACTCAAAATATTCATGTACAGTACGTCTATACATTGAACATGTGGCACTCATCTCCCAACACATTTGAGGATTGCAATAGCATTTTGGTTTTTAAGAATGTGTGCATAGTCAAAAATACAGTATGTCAATTAAGAATCTGCTTAATTCCACTAGTCGATGTGTCTATTTAACACTGTGTAAATAATGTGAAAAAAGTGTATATTGACCAATTGGGAAAATGCTCGGTGAAACAAATTGGGCAGAATAAGTTCGTGTCAAAATGTCAACATACTTGTGAGTAAAATAAAATATACCAAAATATTTACAAAACTAAGGCCTTGCCTAATTCTGGCTGGTGTTTGTTTATAATAAGTTCTTGGATATGAAATTAATAATTGGTCAGGTTATGGAATATATTGCAGCACATGATGTTTACTTCTAGATGTATCAAACCCCATACAACTATGTATTATAGCAATTAGCTGTTATTTCTATGTTGAGTTGTGAAAGGTTATGCATAGTGGCACCAGTTGTGCCATCTGGTGTTTTACAGTGGAGAGTAGGCAACATGCCAGCTAATAATGTAAGGGTCAGATTCTATATTCCTGCCCGAAACGCTGCCCGGATTCCTGCCCGAAACGCTTTGCGTAATAGTGGCTTTAGGCATTGTACAGTATGTACTAGCTCTATCTATAAATCTATCAAATTTTGTAAAACCTCTTGTATGTATGTACCTTACCTGAATAAACATTTATTATTATTATTATTATTATTATTATTATTATTATTATATGTTGAATTAGCCTAGTTTCAGAAGTACTGTGTTCTTACATCTACACCATTGTTGGTTCTTTTAGCTAGGATACAAAACTCAGCATCATTTTTGGTCCTTTCCTTCCCAGGCTATTTAAAATTTGTAGTCGTCTCACCACCACAATAACTGCCTCTGGTCCGTACAGTTTGTATCAATTAGGTCCCAATTGCATACGCCAATTTGTTCTCAACTAAAATTGTGTGATGTATGTGAATAACAGTCTTTTTGCACTCGTTCACCTTGGTACTTTCACCATCTCTTTCTTCCCTCATCTACACATTCTTACATGTACAATAAAACAAATAACGAAAAGTCAAGAAAATGAAATAGTGATCATATTACGTGTAAAAACTAACCATAAGAATCATAAGGGTCAATATTGGAGGAGGGGATATTCCAGATGCGAATGGTGCCATCGATGCCTCCTGAGTAGCACTTCTCCCCATCACTGTTCATTGCCAAACAAAGAACAGAACCGAGGTGACCACGAAAGGTGTAAACTGGCTCGACATCCAAAGAAGCTGATCTGAAATTGAAGTCACTTAAATTAATTTAAAACCCAAACACATGTTTTGGCAATACAGTACTACAACTATGTTTCAAGAAGAAAGCGTTGAGAGGGAAGCCTGAAGCCACATATAAAGTGGCTTCAGGCATAACCTGAACAATATGGTACAAGAAAATTTAAGTAATTGAAAAGGAACAGGGATAACCTACTTCTTAGCTGGAACGGTTTTCTGAAGGTTCCATAGTTTAAGCGTAGCATCCTCAGAGGCAGTAATGAGAGTAGGTTCTTGCGGGTGAAAACACAGCGCTCGTACACCATCAAAATGTGATCGTAATGTATACTTGGCTGTCCAGGTCTTCCGGAAGTTCTCTTTGGTTGATGAAATCTGTGTGATTAATAGAGCAAAAGACACTCGATTACTTTTGCAAATGTACAGCCAAGTGTGTGTGTGATCACGTAAATCAAATATTATTTGTACCAAATATATACAATATATAAACTAGAATGTTTTGATCACATAAAATCAAGTTAAGGTCACTGAGCCGAGATATCTTAGAATATGAAGAATATAAATAAGTCCACATAGTATAATGAGCAGAAGCAGGTGTAATGATTACTGGCTTGTATAATGAATAGCATGGGGCTTATAATGGTGATGGCTGTGGGAGTTATGGCTTTGGTGGTTGTAACTCTGAGGGTTGGGGTTGTGGGTGCAGTGGTTGATTGTTGAGGTGGGTTGTGGCTGTGGGGTGGGGTTGTGGCGGTAATTACCCAGTTGTAGTTACAGGATGAAAGCTACACTCGTTGTTTCCCCGTCTTCCCAGTACTCTGTCACATGACGCTTTGAAACTACTGATGGTTTTGGCCTCCACCACTTAACTTGTTCCAACCATCTACCATTCTGTTTGCAAAAGAAAACTTTCTAATACTTTTCTGTCACCTTTCTTTCCTTAGCTTGATTCTATGACCTTTTGTTTTTGAAGTTGCAGATTTCAAGAATTCCTCTGTCAAATTTGTCAATTTTTGTTACTATATTGTATGTAGTGATCATATCACTTCTTTTTCTTTTATCCACTTTTATCCAGCTTTGGCACATTTACCGCCTCTAGCCTCTCTTCGTAGTTCTTGTTTATAGTTCTGGAAGCCATTTTATAGCATGTCTTTGCACCTATTGCAATTTACTGATGTAGTGCTCGAGATATGGGCATCATACAACCACCGCATATTCCAATTTTGGTCTCGTAAAAATCGTGAAGTTTCTTTAGTATTTCACCATGCATGTATTTAAAAGCAATTCTAAAATTTGAGAGCATAGCATATGCTCCTTGCATAATGTCCTTTACATGGCCCTTTGGTAACAGTCTACTCTCTAGAACCACTCCCCTAGATCTCGCCCAACCACTTGGGCTGGACAGTAGAGCGGCGGTCTCACCTCATGCAGGTTGGCATTCAATCCCCGACCGTCCAAGTGGTTGGCACTATTCCACCCCCCCACAGATCTTTATCCTGATCCCTTCCAAGTGCTATATAGTCATAATGCCTTGGCACACTCTCCTGATAGTTCTCTTCACCCCTAATAGTTCTCTTCACCTCCTTTGTTAAGAGTTCTTTTAATTCAATTCCTTTCCACATAATTTGTAGGTTGTGTGTGTGGCCTACTGTCTCCTATTCCTCATTCCATAACATAGCATTTATTCCATTTTAATTCCATGTGGTGTTCCATACATAGTGCAAAATATTAGTTGCCACAATTAAGCTGGAGTATCTTTACTTATTATAAGTAACGGTAGATAATGAGCCTACACCAGTGTTCATTTAAATTTATACTTTCTCCAATATTACATTAGTGAATGCCTAGTTATCAATGATTTTTGTCTACATGAAATGAGATACCTGGAGCATTGTAACTATTTCATTCATTCGTGGATATTGAAGATATTCTCATGCTCTACCAAATGTTTGCTAGTGCAGACTAGTCGACTAGACTCTCATCCCATGTATGACTGACCATCCTGCGAGAAGGGATATTAGGTGAACTAATAACTACCTCTTATGTTCTGTAACTCATATAGAATGTAACTAACTCTTCATGTGTGTCTAAACTTGATAATATAATAGAAAAATTAGATAATAAAAATGAAGATTTTTAAACAAAATATAAAAATCAGTGGTGAACATTTACTTGCCAAGACCTCACAGAACTATGCTGGGAAGAACAGCTAGACAATGCAAACTTAAACCGGTGCTTCGAGAAGCTAGGCACAGGAGCACTCGAAATGTGTGGAAGTCACATATCAGTAAGGAAAAGAGAAAAGATGCAAACTAGAAATCAGAATAGTGTTCCCTTTGTAGGCGAAGAAAACAAATCCAGAACATCTCAAATGCTCCACTCTATTCCAACGACGACAAGGAAGGCTATGCAGAAATATAGAAACAATTGAGCTCAAGCTGCAAGAATCTTATAAAATCCAAGAGAGGGAAAGAGATAAAGGCCATAAGTGAAATACTGTATAGAGGAATCTAAAGTACTACTACTATGCAAAATCTAGAATAAAAACTACATCTAACATTAGGCCCATGTGCAAGGGTGATGAAACTTTCACAAATGACAACAAAGAAATGAGTGAAATACTGAAGCTACAGTATGACTGCTTTCAGTGAACTCCTGAACACATTGAAGATCAACGATCCAAGTGAATTCTTTATGAATTTGACACCACAACATCGAACACAACAACAGATATCACCCTAACCCCCACGCGACTTTTGAAGCAGCCATAGACAGCATGCCCCTACACTTTGCACCAGGCCCAGACTCCTGGAATTGACTATTCCTGAAGAAGTGCAAAACACCATTATCACAGGCCCTAAACATCTTTTGGAGCTGGAGCCTAGATACTGGTGTTAGTCTTTGCAAACTAAGTAGAAAATCATTTTTCGGTTTGTGCAAATTCAACAGCACCGATTTATATTTTCTAATTGCATTTTGCATCGGTACATGTACTATGGTCACAGTTGTTAGAAGCTTTTGTAAAGTCTGTGTATATTGCATCAGCCTTTTGCTTGTCTTCCATAGCATCTAAGATCATGTCGTAGTGATCTAGCAGTTGTGAGAGGCAAGAGTGCCTGGTTCTGAACCATGTTGACTGGGGTTATGTAGATATTGCAGCCCATCCTCCTAGTTTGGTAGTAGTTATAGGAAGGATAAAGACAATAGAACATATACCGATGTACAACGCAATTAGAAAGTAGATATTGGTACTACTGAAATTGGATAAACAGAAAAATTATTTTCTACGATGCATTCAAAAAGAATTACTGGCAAAGTAGAGAGATGGATCTTTAATTTAGCTTCCTTATAAATAGAACCCAGAGTGTAATTGTCAACATCTGTAATCATTCTGTAATCTGGATCATTCACCGTGAAAAGCTCAGTCCCCCAACATACTGTATTTGCTCTAGTACTTTTTCTTATCCTCGTATCAAATATACACAATACAAACTATGGTACTGTATCATCCTTTGCCGATGACATTAGGATTTTCATGAGAGCAGACAATATAGAAGACACACCAAACATTCAATTAGATAATAATATGATGTTTAATGAAAATAAGTTCCAGCTCCTGCACTATGTAAGAAATGAAAATATAAAAATGGAAACCCACATATAAAATGCAGTCAAATCACACTATAGTTTGAAAAAATCACAAAAAAGCAATGTTTGAAAGGTTCTTGTTATCCAACCTATCATTTTTCTTGCAGTCATAACAGCTACTTTATCGTGTTCTTTAAAGGCAAGGTCTCCCGACATGATTACTCCCAGATGATCATGACTGCAAGAAAAACGACCGATTGGATAACCAGAGCCTTTCAAACAAGGTATGCCATACCAATGATTCAACCTGTCCTCTTAAAAAGAACGTCGCTTTTGGCCGTTTGCCCGTATGGCCGAATTTGGACGTAATTTGAAAATGAAAATAAATTTTGGATTTTTTTTTCAACAACAGTAAGTTAAGGGTCCTCTGATAGGTTAGGTGGGCAGGAAATTCTCATAAAGTTTCAAAACGTTATGAAAAACGTTAATTGAAAGTTCCTCTTCTAAGCTGTCCGAGGAGGGCTGGACGACTCAAATAGAAAACGGAACAGAACGTCACTTTTGTGAGTCGATTTCATTTCAAATTACGTCCAATTTTGGCCATAGTGCGCATACGAGCCAAAAGTGACGTTATTTTTAAGAGGACGGGTTGAATGATTATACTTCTCCAGACACTAGTGTTCTCTAGGGTGGAATATTGTTGCACAATAACAGCCCCATTAAAAGATGGAGAAATTACTGACCTGGAGAATGTGTAAAGATCCTTTACTGCTAGAATCCACTCTATAAAACATTTAAATTATTGCGACATTAAAATCTTAAATGTATAGTCCGTAGAGCGCAGGCAAGAGAGATGCATCATAATTTATACCTGGAAAATATTAGAGGGACTGGTTCCAAATCTGTCCATGGAATGAGACCAGGAGGCATGGGCAAAATGTGAAAAATGAAAAGAAGATGTGCAATAGGTACACAGAGAAAATTCTATCCATATCAAAGCCCAAAACTTTTCAATACTCTCCTCCTACACATAAGGGGCATAACTGGCCAGCCCTCCTGGTGTTCAAGAGAGAACTCGATTAACACCTCCATGGGATACCTGATCAACCAGGCTGTGATTCATATGTCAGGCTGCGAGCAGCCGCATCCAAAACCCTAGTTGACCAGAACGTCAACCAGGAGGCCTGGTCAGAGCGGGCCGTTGTGATCCTCGGAATTACCACAAGGTAACCACAAGGTAAGGTAGCAGCTACTAGACCTGCCAAGAATCTCTAAATAATTTAGAAGATGACACACACTTACATCGTAGGTAGCATCAGCTTCATTGGTTACCGTCAGCTGAGCTAGTTCTCCAAGACCTTCCAATGCATCCTCCTCTCCCCCAGGACCTCCAACATATGCCCGCCGGGGTCCTGGACCAAACCCCAAAACACCAGCTGCAAATAAAATAGGTACATATTAAAATTGTGCTCTTCATATTAATAAATAGTAGTTTAAATCTGAAATAAGGTGGCATAAATGGTGGACACAAGACAACTACTGAACTACAGTAGCAGCTCTACTGCATCACAACCTGTCAGCATTACTACAAGTATTACAATGGGAAATTCTACTTGAGAGCTGCTCGACCAGGGCTTACTATCCCAGTCAATCCATCCAATACACTGTAACCAACCATGTAACTATCATATCCAAGATATGAAAATGAACTATATTATCAACTTAATGTAAATCATATCATACTTCCCACTTCAACTTGTTACTATGAAGTACTCTTATCACTTTTATGGGAGGATGATGCTTTATTGACTTCTCATTCAGTAACATTTCTCCAACTTTAAATCACTAGTAAAATCCAACATGTACATATAGTCCATCCTCAAAAGTCATGTAGCTGGATTAATAAGGCTGAGAGAAAAAAAATGATTAATATCTGCAAGTAATTATGAATGTTCAACAGATTTGAATAAAAATTAAAAACCTAAAAATGGGAAGGGGGCACCTTTAATTTTAATAATCTGAAATATTTATATTTCCTACTACACACATTAAACAATTAGTGTAAATCAGAGTAAAAATAATTACTAAATTTTATTTACATTGCAATCTGAAAATAAACATACTAAGTAAAGATTAAAAGCTTACCTGATGACAAAAGAATAAATAAATATGAAATAAATATCCACTATGGGACAAGCACATAGAAGACTCCAAACCTACTCTTGTATGTGCAGCACTGATATCATGTACCAAGAGCATGCTAAGCTCAAGCATATACTGTATGGCCAAATGCTTGCAACTCAAGGAGCAAAATGCATCAGTCACGGCAGTAACCACCAGCACCACAGGATAAGGAGCAGCCCAAGTAAGATTTTCTAAATTACAGCGACTTTGCTACTGTGCTCTAACGGTTTTTATGCCTAAGACTGATTTGCCAGGGAGCAGCAACAACATTGTTTACATGGGCTGTTCCTTGCTTATACATTACATGCTAGTGAATGTCTTGACTCAAGGGTGACATTCACACCACCAACAACACAAGCAACTGAGGTATCAAAGCGCACTCATCACGACAGGTTTAACCGCAATAAACCACCAGCACCACCAGAAGAAAAAAGGTGCACGAGGAACTTGGTAAGATCAAAAATGACCACAACTCCTCACGCTTAGTAAGGAACCACCTTAACTGTGAAACATAGCAAATTAATGCTTTTCTTGTGAATACATTTAGTGCACACACTAACTTCAAAACAACCATATCTTTCAAACCAAAAAATAAAAGGTAAATTACAATTTCTTTGCTAAAATACTTAACTTATTCATGACTTAGTTTCAGTCAAGGTGATTTCCAGGAATGTGAATAATTCTGAATACCCCAAAAGTTTCAATGGTGCATTCGAGACAAAGAAAATTATGGTCAAATTATAAAAGAACCAAGAAAACCCCTAACCACAACCTAACATAGTTTGTGTCATTCCCTTATGAGTTGTACTCAATGTATCTTGTAGGGTAGCCATAACCAAAGTGAAAGAGTGTGGTCAGACGAAGTGGTTGAGCATGGTGCAGACTTACTGGTGTGGACAGTGGTGGTGGTGGTAGTGATGGTGGTGGTGGTGGCAGTGGTGGTGGTGGCAGTGGTGGTGGGTGTGGCAGTGGTGGGTGGGGAGGGGGGAGTATGCTGAGGAGATGGGCTACCCCTTGCCCCCACTGCTGCACGATATCTAGCTTTGAGGGCCTCTAGGGCAGGGGGTGGGCCAGCCCATTCCCCCCGAAATGATGGAATCCTCCCCTCCTCCACATCCTCCTCAATGCCCTCCATTCCCTCCTCCTCCTCACCCTCCAATTCGGGCCTGCGCCTGGTACCCGTCCAAGTGGCCCTGCGCCCGCCCACCAGGTGCGCTACACGACACAATCCATACCACGGGCACGCCGCCACACCACGCCAGAATAAACCATAACCGTCAACACCACAGGGAAGTACTCAACAGGGTGGCAACACAAGTGCTATACAGTGAAGCTTCATTATCATTTACAGTTCAAGTACAGTACATAATTGTCTGCTAATCTGGATGCCAACAAATAAATCTCATTTTCCTAGTATCTTTCATGCTTAAAATTATTTGTATGCCCAATTTCAAGGTGACAATTGCTAATTAGAAAGTAAAAATAATCCTTAAAATTGTAATTTCTTGGTGCTCAATTTCTGATTAAAATATATATAATAATATTCGTATTTCCAAAATTGAACAAGATATTAAAAGCTATGTATATATTGATGAAATTTTGTTTACATCAAATGTTCATATACAGAAATCATCTTATATACTCTATGTACAAAACAGTAGATATTATAAAGAAACAAAAATAAAACCTCAGTTTTAAAACTTTTCATACAATTTGCCATAATTGATAACTCAACTGAACCATTTTACAAAGTATTGAACAGGGTGAGAATAGCTTGAGCTACGTCATCCCTTTTTATGTATTTATACCTCAATAAACTTATTTCAATTTGACAAAGGCAATGGATGCTAAAGTGAGTAACACCTTATCACTGTTCCAGTGTTTTCTCAGTAAGACTTGCCAAAATACTAATACAAAATATTCATCTAGGTAACAATTCATTATATAGTTGTTGGAACAAATAACTAACAAAGCGATATTTCATATCCAACTTATATACTAATTTACATATCCATTTATCTAATCCAATCCATTCTTTGATAATATCGGTGTTGTAAATTAAGAGTGCAGAGTACAAAGGCTTTCATAATGTTTAATAGGCAGCAGTAACAATGCATCTGCAGAAGGAAATATCATGATGTACTGCAGACTGCAAGTCATGCATATACAGGGAAACTTATTAATTCTTAAACAGGAAAGCTGTGCACACCATAATTTTTTTATCTATAAGTCTCAATAACTTTAAGAGTATCATAAATGAACAACTCACATTAATAATAATAATAATAATAATAAATAATAATAATAATAATAATAAACAAATGTGCATTAAGAACTTCAGATATCAAAACAGTTAAATAAGTTCCAAGATGCATAACTAAAGCCAACTTTACAAATCAGCATATTTGTGTTACCATACTTTAAAATAATATCTCTTCATATAAATTGGTAAAAGCAAGCTGCAGGCATTGAGCAAACAGAATAAACAGTTCCAAAGCTTGTGGGGTGAATTGCTTGCCGTACTAAAGCCACCATAATTAGTTTTTACGAAAGCTAAACCACAGGCCATGCTGTAGTCATGATTCTACAGACACTATATTTAAAAGAAAGGTTCTTCAGTCAATGCTGCCAGGTATAAAGCAGGCCATGCTTGTCCTCAAATTTCTGCAGGACACCACCATATAGCAGGCATTAAGCTCAAGTGAAATTATTCACTGAAGATGTTACTCTCCCAAAATGAATCATTCCTTTCATATGTCAATGGCAAGCCTGACATCTACACCAGTAAGCAGTGGCAAGCCTGACATCTACACCAGTAAGCAGTGGCAAGGCTGACATCTACACCAGTAAGCAGTGGCAAGGCAGACATCTACACCTATACCAGTGAACAGTGGCAAGCCCAACGTCTACACCTATACCAGTGAACAGTGGCAAGCCCAACGTCTACACCTATACCAGTGAACAGTGGCAAGCCCAACGTCTACACCTATACCAGTGAACAGTGGCAAGTCCAATGTCTACGCCTATACTAGTGAACAGTGGCAAGCCCAACTTCTACACCTACACCAGTGAACAGTGGCAAGTCCAACGTCAACACCTATACAAGTGAACAGTGGCAAGTCCAATGTCTACACCTATACCAGTGAACAGTGGCAAGTCCAACGTCTACACCTATAATAGTGAACAGTGGTAAGCCCAACTTCTACACCTACACCAGTGAACAGTGGCAAGTCCAATGTCTACACCTACACCAGTGAACAGTGACAAGTCCAATGTCTACACCTACACCAGTGAACAGTGACAAGCCCAACGTCTACACCTATACTAGTGAACAGTGACAAGCCCAACGTCTACACCTACATCAGTGAACAGTGACAAGCCCAACGTCTACACCTATACCAGTGAACAGTGACAAGCCCAACGTCTACACCTATACCAGTGAATAGTGACAAGCCCAACATCTACACCAGTGAACAGTGCAAGCCTAACGTCTACACCTATACCAGTGAACAGTGACAAGCCCTACGTCTACACCTACACCAGTGAACAGTGCAAGCCTAACGTCTACACCTACACCAGTGAACAGTGCAAGCCTAACGTCTACACCTATACCAGTGAACAGTGCAAGCCCAACGTCTACACCTATACCAGTGAACAGTGCAAGCCTAACGTCTACACCTATACCAGTGAACAGTGCAAGCCCAACGTCTACACCTATACCAGTGAACAGTGCAAGCCTAACGTCTACACCTATACCAGTGAACAGTGCAAGCCTAACGTCTACACCTATACCAGTAAACAGTGGAAGCCTAACGTCTACACCTATACCAGTGAACAGTGCAAGCCCAACGTCTACACCTACACCAGTGAACAGTGCAAGCCATCATTCTACATGAACACAATGAACAGTGATAAGCCCCATGTCTAAATCTAGACCAATGATAAACTCTACATCAACACTTACACCAACTCAACCCAAGACACTTGTAACTGAACTTTTCCAATTAATATTCTTAAGTTACTTGATTGTACTCGTCTTCCAATCAAAGTATTAAATTAACATTGGAAAGAGCATTTGAATTAACTAATGTGTTGTGATATGCATTTATCTTTCAAAAAAATAAAATAAAAAATATTAAAGGCAGTGTTGTGTAATAGGCATTTATCTCCTGACAAATTCAGTCACAGACACCATGAGCAATGACCCTTGACCGATTTCCTCACCAGGGCTACTGTTAATGAGTCCAATACT